AAATAAGGTTCTTTTAAAAACCGCCCAAGTGCAAGGTCATTAACATTTGCATTACAACTTAAGCTGTTTGCAGTGACGCTCGTTCCCGCATATCCATATAGAGTTGGAAGTATGGAATGTGAGGCATATCCCATTATAATAGTTATTTATTATACAAGAGTGGAAAGTTCCTTTTTAACCGCGTGCTCGATTTGGATGACCGAGCAAGCGAAGGATTCTAAAGTTGAATCACGAGCGCAGCGAGTGATTCTAAATTAGAATCCTGAGCGTCAGCGAGGGAAACAAACGAGCACAAGGTGAAAAATCTTTCCACTCGAGTGCAATACGTAACTTTTCATCCCACCTCAGCGAGGAAATGACAAAATGAAAAAGAAAACAATTTATAATGACAAAATATTTTTATTTCAATTAAAACACATTAAGATAATCTATAAATTGAAGAAAATAATAAGAAGTAGAAAATAATTAAGAAATATTAAATGTAACGTTGCTACAGTTACTTATGTTAAGTTTAATATTTTTGTTAGGTAATGTTATGTTGGTGTTTGTGAATTGTGCGCTGTTTTGTGGTAAACTACTCGTATCAGTAATTTTAAATAGTTGTGCCGATTCATTGGATTCTATTGGCGTAAATGTTGGCGAGAGAGGGCTATTGTTTCCAATCTTATGGGGGCTCATTTTAGATGTAGAAGGGCGAGACCAAGAATCTGACAGAGGTTCTTTCAGCGTTATGGCCTCCACGATACTATTACAAATTTTTGATTTACTTTGGATTGAATCCTCTATGTATCCCTCTACAACCGAATTAGACTTCCAGCCTCCATGGCGCTTAAGCGATAGAAGATCAGCCCCTGATTCGGCCAAAAGTGTGGCTGAGGTTCTTCTAAAACAGTGACCGGTGTATAACGGGGGTTCTAAAAGTCCGAGAAAAGTTGCTATTTCTCGTGGAATACTGCCAATTTTATTCTGACCCATAGGTTGTCGGATACACTTTCCGTTGCGATATTGTAGAAAAAATCGTTCAATTGGGGTGTTAGAAGGACGTAAAGCTTGATATTTCTGAACAATGTTTACATATTCCTTGCGAATAACGAAGTTGCGGTCTTTTTTTGTCTTGGTATTTAGTACATTAATTAATAGCAATTCATCAGAATTATGAGAATATTTTGATACGTTATTGACATTAAGTAGTGTAAGTTCATTTGTTCGACATGCTCCGGTTATACCAATAATAAGAACAACCTGTAACAAAAGAAGTATTTATAATCGTAAATAAATTAATCAAATTAAAAATATTGTAAGTACTATGTACAATTTTATCAACAACAAAAAATTACACGTATTGACTTACTTTTGCCGCTAAATATACGGAATCAGGTGCTTCATTAATAAACTTTGCAATTTCAGATGCTGTGAAAACCTTCGATTTTTTTGGTTTATAACCAGATGAGGCTCTTTTTAAAAATGCCACTAATTTATGATAGGTGTCGATATGAACGTCTTTCTTCATCTTAATTGTTAATTTTAGCATTGAATACGTACTCCATAGCGTGCTTGCTTTCTTGGTCTCAGATAATTCTATAAAATATGCCAGCAAAACGTTTTCGGAGAAAGTTTTTGCTCCTTTAGCTAGTCGCCACATGTTAAATATATCGTACTGTTTCAAATACTTCTCTCGTGATTGCTGAGGGAGAAGGCTCATTTGCGCATTATTAACTGTTTCAGTTAACTCAGTTGGCGTTAGATAAACTTCATCGTCGCTAATGTCACTCATTTTAGTTGATTTTTTTGTACAGTTTTTAGGTTATGTTAATTATATTAAGCAATAAAACGTGAAAAACTAGAATGGCGCGAAGCACGCAAATAAAACAAAGAAACCAAGAAGGTTCCAAATTTAAATTTTTTCACAATTTAAAAAGTTCTAATCATAAATTTGGCACCATAGAGGTTACATTAAATAGGTTTAATGACGTTTTGAATTTACAATTATATTGAGTACTCATTATATGTGATGTTCTAAATTCAAATCTACTTTGCCGCTCAAGCGAATAAAATAGAATTTTCCAGCCAGATTTCGAAGCGCAAAATTACACTTTCCGAGGTGGTGGGATGAAAAGATAATTTTCAATACAAACCGAATTTATGAAAACAAAACAGTGCTAAAAAGCAAGAAATAATACATGTTATAATTTTTATTATTTTTTAAAGCATGTAACTGCTTGATGTTTAAATCTAAAGAAAATATAACTAGAAAAAATTCCACGCGGACCAGGCAGCAGACGGGACTCGAACCCGCACCCTTCGCAATCCGGGCGAACTTTTTTCTAGTTATATTTTCTTTAGATTTAAACATCAAGCAGTTACATGCTTTAAAAAATAATAAAAATTATAACTATAATTGCTATTTCTTCTTTCAAATGTTTAATACTTGTAAAAGTATTCATTTGACATTGTGGGTTTACCTATAATGCGAAGAGATGGCGCTGCCTTGCAGCTTAAGAATAGCTAGAAAGAATTTCGACGCGGTCCGTGAGGGCCGCGGTAGCATAATTGGTCAGTGCATTCGCCCGGATTGCAAAGGGTGCGGGTTCGAGTCCCGTCTGCTGCCTGGTCCGCGTGGAATTTTTTCTAGTTATATTTTCTTTAGATTTAAACATCAAGCAGTTACATGCTTTAAAAAATAATAAAAATTATAACTATAATTGCTATTTCTTCTTTCAAATGTTTAATACTTGTAAAAGTATTCATTTGACATTGTGGGTTTACCTATAATGCGAAGAGATGGCGCTGCCTTGCAGCTTAAGAATAGCTAGAAAGAATTTCGACGCGGTCCGTGAGGGCCGCGGTAGCATAATTGGTCAGTGCATTCGCCCGGATTGCGAAGGGTGCGGGTTCGAGTCCCGTCTGCTGCCTGGTCCGCGTGGAATTTTTTCTAGTTATATTTTCTTTAGATTTAAACATCAAGCAGTTACATGCTTTAAAAAATAATAAAAATTATAACTATAATTGCTATTTCTTCTTTCAAATGTTTAATACTTGTAAAAGTATTCATTTGACATTGTGGGTTTACCTATAATGCGAAGAGATGGCGCTGCCTTGCAGCTTAAGAATAGCTAGAAAGAATTTCGACGCGGTCCGTGAGGGCCACGGTAGCATAATTGGTCAGTGCATTCGCCCGGATTGCGAAGGGTGCGGGTTCGAGTCCCGTCTGCTGCCTGGTCCGCGTGGAATTTTTTCTAGTTATATTTTCTTTAATAATACATGTTCTTATATCTAAAGGTTTATTTTACTTTAAATGTATTTTAAGTTTTTTTTTATATAGCCAAGTAGGCAAATGACTCTACCCCACCTGATGTTAAGTGGTGATAAAGTCCAAACGCAAAGATAGCTGGTACAGCATTTATAAACTGCCACACCAACCCTCTTCACCATATAAGTAAAAAATGTATAATATTTCTTGCTTTTTATATGTTTTGTTTTTCTGAAGTTGGTTTTTATTATTGTTTAAAAAAAGTTTTGATTCTTCTCTTTTTATAAGCCAGTGCAACATCAAAATACTAAATATGTGTCTGGCCTGGAATCTCTCTTTCATATTTCGTAAAATAACCAAACACGATATGTGTACTGTTAGTATTTGAGGAGTTCCCTTGCTTATCTCCGAAAGTATATCAGATCTCAACCAAATTATTGTAGGACCTTCACGCTAGCAAACTTCTAAACAAAAAATAATAATCATCAAAATCGACAAACAAACCTCGGATATAAGATCGAACAACGTTAAAACAAATATGTGTATAATGAGGAATTGGAATCCTCCTTCGTTTTGAAGTGGATTAATCTTCTAATATATAAAATTCTCGTGTCACAGTGTGCGTGATTGAACCACTGCGAAACGGCTCGACCGATTTTTGTGAAATTTTATATGCATACTAGCGGACCCGACAGACGTTGTCCTGTCTACACGTCTTTGTGAATCTAAACCATTCTCAGATCCCCTTGAACACACACAAAAAATTTCATCAAAATCGGTCCAGTCGTTTAAGAGAACTTCAGTGACATACACACTCACAGAAGAATTATATATATAAAGATTCAATAGGTCTGAGAATCGGACACCATCTATTTTTCATCCGCCTAAATGTCAAGGGTTTTGTTTTTATTTTTTTATAATACATCATACAAAAATACATACAACCCTAAATTTTCACCCATCTACCAGCCATACTTTTATGGTGATACGAAGTTCGCTGGCTCAGCTGGTAAATATATATTTTGTATTTAAGTCATGTATTGTCTGTGTGCATCCTTTATTCGTATACTTGAGAAATATCAGCAAAACTGCTACTATAGTTTTTATACGACTGCACAAGTAAAAACTTAATAGTTTAAAAAAAAACTAGAAAAACACTCTTTTATAAATGCACGTAAAAACTAAAAATAAATTATGGATGGTTCAAGTTGTCGCTATTTCTGGGCTGACGTGTAAACTAGACTCTTAGTGTCGCCGCACACGGGCCACCGACCACAACCACAAAACGCCGCCACCGGCATATTTCTTGTAGTTTTCATACATTTACTCGCGCGATTCCCCACCCCTCTCTCCCTTACCTTAGTCGGCCGCTGTCGCGCGCTTCAGCCACTTTAGTAGCCGCTTCAAGCTTCTCGTGGCGGCTTTTGTGGCTGTGGCGTGTGGCCCGTGTGCGGCGGCACTTAATTATAATATTTGATTATAAAAGCGTGGGGCGCTGGAACAGGAAAGACGTTTTGTTTAATTTGCTTTAAAAATATAGTGTTAAAATTGAAATAACAGGCAACGTTCAAATGCCAATTATTTGTATCAATCAAAAAAGTCTTCTAATCATTATATAGTAGCATATTTTTAAAGGCAGTCGTATTTTTTATTATTTTCTTACATTGTAAAAACATATCGTAGTCTTAATAGAATTCTGTGCCCGGAAATCTTCTACTTAGGTATAATATGCCAATATTACATTTCACAGACAAATGGTCTCCTATAACTCCACCCGAAGGTTGGGTCCTAATATCGACTATACCACCGACAACACAACCATCAACAACAACATCAACAACGACATCAACGACAACAACTACTACGACAACAACAATCGAACCACCGACAACCATCGTCACCACCTTAGAAACGATTCAACCGGTGACAACAGAAAAGTTGACGACCCCCAGTTCAACAGAACAGACGACGACTACTCAACAATCAACAACTATCCAACCAGCAACTACCGGCCAACCCGCTACGACAATTCAACCACCAATAACAATGAATTTAACGACCCAACAGCCAATGATCGAGTTCACTGTGAACGTGACGTTAAGGCCTACGGTAGCTACAACAGTGTTGGCTACACAGGCAACACCAGAGAATGCTACAGACAGTGATGTAGCCAACGCCACTGAGAGTTCTACAAGTACAGACGCAGTCACGACTGGTAAGATTGTTTTAAAATATTAATGATTTATTTGACAGAATATATGTGAATTCGATGCTCGATGGCGCAGGCGGTTAGCTCGTTCGGCTGCGATCGTTGAAGTTAAGCAACTTTCGCAGTGGTCGGTCATTGGATGGGTGACCAAAAATCTTCTATCTCGAGTTCCTCCGTGCTTCGGAAGGCACGTTAAGCCGTTGGTCCCGGCTGCATTTGCAGTCGTTAGCACCCGCCAATCTGAAGGCCTGTGCCCCAGCAGTGGGGACATTAATAGGCTGATGATGATGATGATGATGTGAATTCAGCATTGTTTTAACATTGGTCTCCAAACTAGGTAAACCTGTCGCGAGGACTGGAGTTGATGAGTCAACATAATAAGAATTTCCTGTGAAAATTATATACTGTTGATCTTTGTCATCCTTGCTTTTCATCACCACTCTTCTCCCTTCATCATCAGCCTATTAATGTCCCCAATGATGGGCCGTCCCTATGGATGGAATATAAAAAAAACAGCCCTTACTGAGCTTCTTGCTGGTTCTTCTCAGTGAAAGGTCTCCGGCCGTAGATTTACGAACCGATGGAGTAGCTTCTAGTCATTCATGAGTGCTTGTAACAGCCTAAACTGAATAAATGATTTTGATTATTATAATTATGATTAAGAAGGTGATTGGTTCATGAACATGACCCGCCACGCGGGCCCAATGTGAATTGGTGAGTTCTAAAGTTCTATATGTGCAACCGGAACCAACGACCTAACATGCCTTCCGTAGCACGGAGGAGCTCGAGACAATAATTTTTTGGTCAACCATCCAATGACCGGCCTATGCAAAATTTACTAAACTTATGTTTTTATTTATTTTTAAGCATTTAACTGCTAGATGTTTAAATCTAAAGAAAAGTTTACTAGAAAAAAATCCACGCGGACCAGGCAGCGGACGGGACTCGAACCCGCACCCTTAGCAATCCGGGCGAATGCACTGACCATTATGCTACCGCGGCCTTATTGGCCGCGTCGAAATTTTCCTAGCCTTAAGCTGCAAGGCCGCGCCATCTCTTCGCATTGTAGGTAACCCACAATGTCAAATGAATACCGGATTGCGAAGGGTGCGGGTTCGAGTCCCGTTCGCTGCCTGGTCCGCGTGGATTTTTTTCTAGTAAACTTTTCTTTAGATTTACTAAACTTCGTCAGCCTTAGCCCGAACAGGCACTGCGCCAACGAGCTTCGCAAATAAATACGGAATTGGATAACCACACCTTTAACATATTTTTTTTAAGCTTTTAAGTGCAGTGAGAACGTTAATAGGCTGATGGTGATACCAAAACCTTTGTAAATCGATTTTGTTATGAGAAAAGGTGGGGTTAAATCTAAAGAAAATTTTAATAGAAAAAATTCCATGCGGACCAGGCAGCAGTCAGGCAGCTAATTACTGCAGATGCGTTTCGAAGTGCGACGGAACTTGAGTCGATAAATTTTGGGTCACCCATCCGATGACCGACCATTGCGAAAGTCGCTTAACTTTCACAACCGCAACTGAATACTTCATATGGTAATCGTAGATATTTAAAGTGAAATTTCCTTTCAGTCGCACCATCGACAACTGCTGAGCCAAGTTTCAACATGTCTAACTACAAAGAAAGTAAGTTTTGAAACATTATTCTGCTAAATTTTTTTAGACATATAGGTAAAAAATAAATAAAATAAAAATGATCAAATCACTTAACTACATTAGACGGAAAACTTAACTAGGAAGTGAAGAATTAAGTTACCCTTCACAGATTATACTTAATGCGTATAACTTGGCGTTTAATAACACAGCAGTTGTGCCATTGTTCATTTATAAAGTATAGCAATAACAAAACGGAAAAAACTTCTATTAAAATGGGCTTTACATTACCCAATTTTAAGGCCCTATAGAAAGAGTGGGCGAGGCCCCTAGCTAGGATAGCAATTATTTCACAGCTCCTAAATCGGGTCCCTTACTCTCTAACTCAATTTCCACCACCCTTAGTCAGGGTAAGGGTCCCTTAAAATTGAGTAGTGTAAAGCCTGCATCACGGATTAATAAAAACACCATGAGAATAATTTTTGAGTACGATAATGTTTTATTTTATAACCTTACTTTATCTGATTAATTTATCAAATATTGTTAATGATTTTTTTAATAGGATCATAAAACCTTGTACCAAGTTATAAAGTATGATGAAAAAAAAACTTTTAATTCATCGACAATTTTCATGGAAATTAAACATTATTTTTTCTGTTCTTTCTTTTGTAACATAGGAAAATGAATTTCATAACTTTTCCATAATAATTCTCGTAATAATCGAAAACAATCGCACTTACCAAGTTAATCTGTTGTTTTATTCAAATTAAGTGTAATTAATAGGAAATTTTCTTAAAATAGATGGAAATATCGGCTTGTGAGGAGCGTATTAATTCTTAATTATATTATGTATGAAATAAATACAAAAAAAATCCCAAAAGTAAACAGATAAGAAATTAATTTTAAAAGTCTAAAAATTTTAAAATCAAAACTGTTCGTTAAATAACATCATATAATTGTCATAATAATATGTGCAAGAACTAGAAACGTAATTGAATTTTAAACTCAGAAACTTTAACATAAAATGGTTACAAAGTGTCATTTACATACATATCACAATAATGTAATAAAAACACAATTGAAGTCAATTGTACAGTTTATTTGCACAAATTTTTCAAATAATGTATCAAAATTCAATAATGTGCTTTGCAAACTTACGCAGTTAGGTCAAAGAACCCAAAAAAAATGTATCTTCTCTCAAACTAAAATTAAAAAAAAACGAACCGCTTCTGCTATTCAGAATTCAAACAAAGCAAAGTGTTGTCGGCGTTCAGACGACGCGAACGTCACGGCCAAGGCAACCGCAAGGACATTGCACGCGGTTTATTCTATAATAATAGTCAAACGAAAAAAAATGCAGCAAAAACTGCTTAAGTTATTAAAAAATAAAAGTTTTTGTGTTTAAAGTAAAAGTGATATAAAAGAAGTGAAACTAAGTATTAACTTTGCAGATCAACGAACACCCAAAAAAGTAGCAAAATGTAAAATAACTATGAAACATGAAAATTCGGCTTACAGTTGTCTGTTTTTAAAAATGCTAAACTACAATGGAATGCCTTTTAAAAATGTCATGGGATTATTTTAAGGCGCCACCAGTTTATTAACTGGTTCTATAATTAATAACTGACCACTTACCGACAAGTGTTTCATGCTGTTTGGAATTTAAATGCAAGTGCTTTTTGAACAGAGTTAAGTGGACATATGCTTATCGTGTCGTGTCTTAAATTAACATTAATATCAGACATAATAATCTAAAAATCAAAGCAAAAGTGTGCGTGTTTAAATAAAAAAATATCCTTATTAAAAAGGTCTAGACAGTTTGGTGTGAATGCTAGAAATAAAAAAAAATAACATCGGTCCTAAAATAAGCTAAGTGAAAATTTGAAAACAGAACTGTTCCGAAATGATTGTGAACTCTACTTTGTTGCTGCTGGCAGTTTGCGGCCGTCGGCTTTGGCCACAGGCTCGGATCGTCGGAGGGCAGAAATCGGCCTTCGGACAATGGCCTTGGCAGATATCCCTGAGGCAGTACCGCACCTCGACCTACCTGCACAAGTGCGGGGCGGCGCTCCTGAACGAGAACTGGGCCATCACTGCAGCCCATTGCGTCGAACAGTGAGATTTTTCTTTTTAATTTCTTTTATACTTAATAAGGCAAAGAGGTTTTTATGGCAACATAAACTATAGCCATTGCGTCGAACAGTAAGCTGTTCCTTCTTTAAATTCCTAAACTACTTTTCACAAAAAGTTTTTATACAAACTAAAAGTAGGTATATATTCCTAAACTGTATTTGGAAAAAATGTTTGCTAAATTGGAAACAACAAACTAATATAGGGCGCTGTAACTTTCAGATTTTACACACAATATTAAATCTTTTTCCCAACTAATACTTTAACGCCACTGATTTGTTATATTAAGCAACAGTCGAAAAGCTATACAAATATTATTAATGCAAAAATGTATATGTCTGTCTGTAACGTCTTCATGCTCAAACATTGTATAGATTTAGTTTGAGTACCAGGGAATGACATAGGATTGTTTTAATCCCCGAATTCATTGCATGGGATGAAAAGGGGGTTGGAAGTTTTAAGTTACTTTTAAGTTGTATCCACTAATAGGTATTACATATTACACTTAAATTTTCAATAATCGGTCGTTACCTCTAATAAGAAAAAAAAAATACAATGAACCTTTTTTGTATTCCAACGAACTACACGAAATTGAAAACACAATACAAATAAGTCTGATTTATTACCTGTTAAGTATACAAGGTACATTTATTAACATACAATAACACTGATCGCATGGTATGGCGGTTAATGAACCTGACTACAAATTGCAGATTCGGATACCGAGAAATTTGTAATGAATATTAGCTTTTAGATCCATCAAAGGTATTTGGTGGGTCTTAAGCAGACTGAGAAAATTTCTATATTGAACTGGGAGTAAAGGAAATCATAGAATACGTCAGAAGCATTGTATTAACGTGCAGATACTAAAGTCTATCTCAACGGACATGTTAGAGAAGTGACTCTTGGCTTGTCACTTTTTTCCGGACACAAACTTAGACCTGAGACCGCAGCGAAATGTATGGCTTCGTTCAGAAGTGGAATGGAATAATTTTTACCTGTAATTTTCAAGACATAATGTCAAGAAAAATATTCTATCCTGAGTGTAGTTACTTTGAGATCAATGAACCAAACTTCATTTCGCAACTGGTCTCTACTAACTAAGTAGTGCAACTTGTAACTTGCGCTTGGAATTTCTATATCTTTTGATAAATTATACACCGTGAATATTGAGTTGTCTTAAAATACTTAAAAATTTGTATGAATATATAGTTAGAATAGTTATATACAGATAACGTACTATACTATACCATACAAAAAAAATATTCATTACTAGTTGACCCCGCGTACTTCGTACGGGTTAATAATAATTTAGAAGAAATCACGGACCCGAGTATACTGTACCAAAAGGGACGAACGTCAAATGTTTGACAAGAAAGAAGATAGAACAGTTTATATGGGAAAATTAAATTGTCATTTATACTATCTTCCTCGAAATTTTTTCCATATTCTCACCTTTTAAACCTTCCCTAGACCTCCACGAACATTTCAAGACCAAGATAAGATAAATCCGTTCAGCCATTCTCGAGTTTTAGCGAGACTAACGAACAGCAATTGTTTTATATATATATATAGATAGATAAGAAGATATCGTTTACAAAATATCCAAAAACGGCACAAATTGAAAAATACTTATTATAGAATTATCATCCGTTCATAGTACGTAATTTATGACAATTCAAATTGTTAAGGTTTCATTATTGCACAATTATGAAGTTACCATTGTGACACCTTTAAAAAAAAATAAAAAAAAATGTGAGTCACTTGAGTCGTTGTCTGAATTAAGTTACTCAGGTAACTTAAAATTCACGGCGTTTAATATTAGTACTATTTATTTGCGAATTGTTGAATTCAATGTAAGTCGAGTTAATTTTTGTCGAAAAATCCACGTTGTAAAAGCTGATGCCGATTGCACTCCACAAAAGCTACTCCACTAAGGCGTACCTTAAAGTACCGACTATTTTTATTTTGAAGTTCAAAAGAGGTTTTAGGGTAAGAATTTATCCTTGTTCCACCAATAGGATTGTGGTTTACCACTAAAGAAATAAAACTTTTGTAATGAAACCCTTTTCTCGAGAAATCCTAAACACACATGTTTAAGACTTCTCGAGAAAGGGGTTAACAGTCTACTAAAAAAACAGAATATTATAGTTTTCTACTTACATAGTCCCTCTTTCAGTTTTTTTTCTGCTTTTGCACATTCCACGGTAGCGAAAAAGGAATGCAATTTTGTAAACGAAACGAATTTTAATCCTTAAATCTTAAGTTAAAATCCGTATACAATTAAAGGTTTGGGAATTAATTTACCGAGATAAAAGAATGCAAACCTCTAATATAAAGAATATAAAAAAATCAGTCAACGACTTAGGTTAGGTATATTACCGCAATAATATTTTTTTTAACCGGCGTATGTTTCTTAGACAATTTTACTAATTTCACTGCCGTCTTTTGTCTCAAACAAAATATTTTTCGTAATTTTATTTTCTAGTGTTGGGTTTCTGCAGTGAGTACTAAAATTTTCCAGAGCTCGCATGTTCTACGATTGAATATAAGTATACCATTAAAAGATATGCACTGTTTTTTTCTCTACCCGTGTCAACGCTCTCGATAAACAAAAAAATGCTCATTAGACGTAGCTTAAAAGTTGTAATCTCCAAAGATAATCTTCTTTGAAGCGTTCGTTGGCTCAATTAAATTTATCCTTCTACGAATGAAGTTGCATTCGGATAATAAAACACAATACATCATCGAAACCACATTGAAACCTTAAACATTTTCCTTAAAGCTCATCGAGTTCACATTATGACAGATCTGTTATTAACGTAATAGGAGCAAATAAATTATTGTTTTAATTTTTTTGCGTTGAAAGGTCGAAAATCAACTATAGTTGGCTGATTGTTAGCCTGTATATTATCTCTTATCTAATAGACAAGTCCGTCCGTCCGTCCGTGGTGCTGTTTCAGCGGTCAAACCGTAAGAGATAGATATAGAGAATGTTCAAGTTATAAGTTAAGAATAGTCTGACAAGACTACAAACCGGATGTGAGTAACGTAGCACTTCCGGTTTTCGAGAAATCACGTGATTTCTATTTCAAACGAAACCACACAAAATTTCCGAAGTTCTCTTTTTGGTGAACATTTGGTTCACTGGTTTGCTAGTACTTAATATTTTTACGAAACAAGTTTATTAAAGCCGCGTTTTTTTTAATGCAATGCAAAAATAATAGGCAATGCATTTGACCACAATCTCGCCTGATGGAAAGCGATGATGAGTGATGCCTGTTCTCTCTGGCCTTGAAGTTGTCCAGATTATATTGGTCCGGGAAAACAGACCTCGGCAAGGAGTTCCACTCTCTAGCCGTTCCCAAAATGAAAGCGAAAGCGCTTGGTGCGAATGGGAGGAACATCGACAACATAAGGGTGAAAGCCTTCGCCTGGTCGACCGATGGTGGAAAGAGGAAGGGCGGATCAAAATATGCACACTCTCCAAAATGTAACCGATAAAACAGTATTTTTAAATCGAAAATAAAGTCAATAGAACAATAAAGTTTTAATAAAGTACAATAAATGTACCGTGAAAGTGAAAGCAGCAAATGCACATAATTTGCGGTTTACCTACATCTGTGCCTACATGTTACAAAATATATATGCATTGCGGTATGGTATAGTCCTACCGTTTGATACAAAACTCTTATAACAAAAGTCTTTCTAAATTTTTTAAACAAAAAATAAAACCGACTTCAAAATCGAAAATGGAACTAAAAAGCAAAAAATAATATCTGGTTCATGATTTGGAAGTCGGGCGGGTCAAGATTGAAAGACATATTATTACCGATCTATTTAATGTTTCAATCTTGACCCGCCCGAGTTCCAAATCATGAACCAGATATTATTTTTTACTTTTTAGTTCCATTTTCGATTTTGAAGTCGGGTTTATTTTTTGTTTAATTCTTTTTAATTCATCCATTTTAGTGAAAACTACATCGTCCAAGTAAACAATAACACAATTGACGGAGAAATCGGTGAACATGCATAAAAAACATCGTGCGTGCCTTTGAAATTTGAAAGTTTTCCTCGATTTCCCCGGATTCCACTATCAGATCCTGACATGGTTCCAATGGGACAACCTCGAAAGTGCACTCTTTCGAATAAAAAAATAATTTTGGAAATCGGTCCACAATTGACGGAGAAATCGGTGAACATACATAAAACAAAAAAAAATACCGTCGAACATAGAACCTCATCCTTTTTTGAAGTTGGTTAAAAATATGAGGGCAGGTGCCGATATAGGGTAAATGACCCAGTAGTCAGCCTTTTAGTAAGAAACAACATTTCGTTCGAATGGTATTGTTTACGTGTCGGGATCGGTGTACAGGTTTTGGTTCGAGAGCGTTTTTGAATTATTAAAAAAAAAATACACCCGGATTGCGTAGGATGCGGATCGAGTCCCGTCAGCTGCCTGGTCCGCGTGGATTTTTTTCTAGTTATATTTTCTTTAGATTTAAACATCAAGTAGTTACATGCTTAAAAAAGTTAAAATTATAAAAAAATACATATTTATATGTATTTTGTATTTTTTTTAGTAAATGAAATACATAAAGTCACAGAAAATAAATTGATTGTTTTCATTCATAGTGTTTTAATATTCAAAATAATGTCACAAACGCTCTCGAAACAAAACTCGTACACCGACTTACACGAAAACCGTATCGTGGTAATCACTACACTATGTATTTTTTTTTAAGATAGGACCGACAAATGACTCAACCCTCCCTGATGTTAAGTGAAGGTGAACTCCAGACGCGAAGATAGCTGATACAGCAGTTCTACTTGCCACACCAGCCATCCTCACCCTGCCGGCCTGCATGTTGCTTCTTCACTCCTCATTTAAAGGATCCCAGGTTGTAAGAGGGAGGGAACACGTGGGCGGGCAGAGCATTCCATTTCCGAATAGTAAGAGTATGACACTACCCAGTGTAGTGTAAGTAAGTCTTGGAATTAGGTCTGATATGAAATCAGCGGTTCATTCATAATAATATTTAATCAAAATTTCTATGTCGCACTAGTAAAGCACATAAAATAACCAGTTCGCACATTTCTAACTAGTCCTGTTTTTACTTGCAGCGTCCCACCGTCAGAGCTTCTTGTCCGCTTAGGAGAACACGACTTGGCTAACGACAACGAGCCATTCGGCTTCGCTGAGAGAAGAGTCCAGATCATAGCCAGCCACCCTCACTTCGACCCGGCGACTTTTGAATACGATCTGGCGTTGTTGAGGTAAGAATTTTTGAGACTTAAGAACCGTAGGAGCGCCAAGCCTATTACTAAAGTTATTCAAAATGAAATTAAGTGATACTGATGTTTGTAGACACTGCAATCAGGAGAATGAAATACCAAAACACCTTCTATGTGAATGCGGGCCTCTTTTTCACAAACGTAGTATTCATCAGGCACGACATATAATAGGTTCTGTAGCTATTTGGAAGCTGTCGGGCTGAAAGATATAGTTTGACTTTTTGGCGAGTCATTAAATCTTTTAGGTTGCAGTGACTACAGTTCTATTAGGACTGCATAACCCCAAAAATCTTAAATAATATTAAGGCTATTATTTGACGTTAAAATGCCAATACATACAAACATTCTATGAAATTTTCAAGTCTGTTAGAAGGACAGATGCACCATCGGCACGGAAATGATCTTAGTTGAAAAACAATTTGGTCTTTTCTTTACAGACTTCAAAAAAAGGATGTTGGCAATTTGGCCTGCATGTTTTTCTCTAGAGGGCTTATATACGCTTTAAGAAGCAAAGCTATCTCACTCGCGCCTGACCCAATTGACGACCTCCGTGGTCGAGTGGTTTGTACGCCGGGTTTCATGGTGTCGCCGACTCGAGAGGTCCCGGGTTCGAATCCCGGTGGGGGCAGATGTTTGTGTGATGAATACGAGCATTTGTACTCCAGTCATGGATGTTTAATATGTATTTCTATATAAATATACTTATATATGTACAGTATATGTATTCTATCCGTTACCCTAGCATCCCATAACACAAGCCTTACAATGCTTACTTTGGGGCTAGGCTAATTGGTGTGAGTGTCGGAAATATTTATTATTATTATTTATTCATTCAATAATTTTTTAATTTTTTAATTTTAATCGCCTGCCCTGTGGAGCCCTGAAACCCTCATTCCCTCATTCATACTCATCGACAGAAACACAACACCAACAAAATACAGTGTTATTTCATTGTGATTTTTTGAAATGGGGAGGGGTACTCTCCCAGACGGGTGTTCCAATTCAAGCAGAATCCGCCTTACCCAATGTCTTTTGTTTCCGTTTTTCCCGAGGCTAGTAATTATAACACTAAAATCGCGTGTTTTCATCGTTAAAAAAGACACCCAACTATGAGTCATTCTACAGTTATTAATCTTACTGCCCACGGGTGATAAGGTCAAGTGCACTGGTGAGCGACCGCTCACTCACACAATCACACTCAGCGCAATCAGCCTAGCCGAACGACGAGCAAAAACTTATATACCACCTACGCGGTCACCAAACTAGAAAGAGATTTAAATCTAAAGAAAATATAACTAGAAAAAAAAAAATGTTCGAGTCCCGTCTGCTGCCTGGTCCGCGTGGAATTTTTTCTAGTTATATTTTCTTTAGATTTAAACATCAAGCAGTTACATGCTTTAAAAATAATAAAAATTATAACTAGAAAGAGATTTTTATATACACAGAATTAGATCAGATTTTTAAGCGTTTATTTTATTTATTTATTTCAACTTTATTGCCAACATAAGCAAACGGCGGTCTTAATGCCATAGGCATTCTCTACCAGTCAACCAGTATGAGTGTTGGAGACAAATAGTATACAGTATGGCGATAGGGCAAAGTTGCTAAAAATTTAATAAAATGAAAATTAACATAAAATAATAATACTTAAATACAAATTGATGCACATGCATAAAATACTCATAAACCCATACATAAACATACACATATAAATATATATTTAAACATATACATATCATACATAAAATACAATAAATATAATTTAAATCGATGCAAACTATAGGGAAAAATCACATAGTCAGGTAATTCACACACAAGTTTTTTGAACTTAAACTTATTGTCAGTACTACGTATGCTTAGTGGTAGAGCACTCCACAGGGTTCCGTACTCAAAAGGTCCCTATTACTAAGACTCCGCTGTCCGCCTGTCTGTATGTCACCAGGCTGTATCTCATGAAGCTAGACAATTGACATTTTCACTGATGATGTATTTCTGTTGTAACAATAAAATATATTTTTAAGGCAGCTCCCATTAAAAAAAAAGTGTTTTTTTGCCGTTTTTTTTGTTAAGAAAATTCGCTCGAATAATTACCATAGGAGGGCTGAAAAATATCCCACTTGCATTGGAATTCCTTTCTGCCGAAGTGATCTACACTTTACACAACAGCACAGTGAAAAGCACAGAACACAAAAAGAGGTTAGCATTGCCTTGTGGGTGGGGCAGGCGCGCTAAATTTGTGGGCATTACGCCGCGTACTCAGCCCCCACGCGCGGGCCTACCTGCGCACGTCTGCGTGGTCCCCGTGATACCCCGGGAGACCCCTGCCGTGGAGCCCCGGCTAGGCCGGGGCTGCTAGGTGCGGAGACGCGGAAGAATCCCTAAACGGGGATCCCGCGGCTTCGCGCTAAGCAGCTTAGAGGGTATTCGCAGGACTTTTTTAGCGGATATTATGCCGTAAAGCGCCCGTAAGAGTTGCGGGGTCCTCGGTAGACAGCCACTGGGAGGTCCGTAAGACTTGCCAGGTGTGAGGTCCGTTCGGCGGTGTGCCTCTTAAAGGCGCCGTCGTCTATAAATAGCATTTTAACCTGCGTTATAAAAAAAAATGCGCGCCACATTTAAATGTGAGCAAATGCCCACAAGTTGACCAAAACTTGGTTCTGATTGCGTCGTTGCTCTCGGGTGTGAGCACTGATTAATTCGATTGTTTCATGTCGTGTCGTTTGATTGGCTATTATCTATTAGGTGGAAGTGTAGTGGGGGCGAGCCGGCGACATCGTTTCCCGTACAAATGGTCAAAAATCACCCTTCCAACCTATCTTTCTATGTTCTGTGGTGAAAAGTTCTTCCATTTGTTAAGGTCGTGTTTCGCTAAAGCTAGGTTCTAGAACACCGCGTGTATGAGTGTAAGGGGGCTTGTGAACGTTCAGTTTTCCACCGGGTCAAGGCACGGTAAATGGAATGGACTCCAAATGAATAAAAAAAATTGTGTGCACGGACCACACAACTGAAGCGAAACTTCTTTTCTTTAATATACTAACATTAGGCGGTGCATAATAAGTGTTGCCGTACACGGGCCACCGACCACAACCACAAAACGCCGCCACCGGCATATTTCTTGTAGTTTTCATACATTTTATATGGACTCGCCACACACGGTACGCCGGTGGCCACCACACGCTACAAATCGTTGTTGCTCGCTTCTTGTGGCCCGCACCTGCCACTTAATGCGCCGATACAAAAAGCCGCCACACGTCACTCGCGCGATTCCCCACCCCTCTCTCCCTTACCTTAGTCGGCCTCTGTCGCTCGCTTCAGCCACTTTAGTAGCCGCTTCTAGCTTCTCGTGGCGGCGTTTGTGGCTGTGGCGTGTGGCCCGTGTGCGGCGACACTAAGGCATAGGGGAATGGAGCAGCGCACGTATCACTCATATATATGTATACAGGGTTACTTTTAAAACACCAACAACCTCTTAGGGGGTGATTCTACCCATCAACAGCAACAACTTTTATTATGGGACCAAGGCTGAAATCACGAAAACAAAATCTGCTGTTTCATACAAAAGTGCATCCATCAGCTAATCGACCGAAATTTATGAATCAGCTGATTTTTTTTGCTGACCAGGGAAACCTTGAAACTTGTTTTATTTAATGAGTAATATTCGTGAAAACCTCAGGAACCAGTTTGTATAGATATTTGCTGCTCCAATGCTTTCTCTAATTCAAGGTGTAACTTTCATGTGAGTGTTGTTTCAATTATCTGTCTATAATCATCACCAGCCTATTAATGTCCCTACTGGTGGGGCACAGATCTTCCCTATGAATGGAAGAGTCGTGAGTCGTGACCCACCTCAAGGGCCCAGTGAGGATTGGTGGGTGCTTACGACAGCAGATGCAGCCGGGACCAACGGCTTGACTTACATTCCGAAGCACGGAGGAGCTCGAGATAATAAGGTCTTGGTCACCCATCCAATGACCGACCATTGCGAAAGTTGCTTAACTTTCACGATCGCAGGCGCTACCGAGTTCGTCAGTAGCTCTTAGAAACCTCTCTGCCCACCCTAAAATGTCAAATGTGATGAAACAGTTATAAGTGCAATTGGATGGCTGCTCCCCTATAAAAAATCCCTAACTACTTACGCCAATGCCAATACTTTGTAAAGGTTTTGAGACTGCACCTTTCTCTTCTAGCGAGGTGTCACCATGGTTTCACTTTCATGCGAGTGTGGCTCAAGAGGCTCTATCCTTAGAGCACATACCAATATATACCGTATAAGCTCTAAGGCCGTATGCAAAAGGAAAGCTGGTAGCCTACCAGCGCTTATAGGAACCGGTTTGCGCAGGTAACCGGCGCAAGCATTTCTATGGACCAGCACCAATAAGCGCCGAACGTCGCCGACAAGTTCCGGCACCGCCCTTTAGCCGCGTATCCACTAGAGGCAGCCTCGCGTCGAGCGGCCTCGACTTGAAGCAAATAGCCTCAGTTTGAGGCTCGCTCTGAGGCAACGGCTACGGATCAGCTCAGCTTGATCCGCCGGCGGCGCACTGCGCAGTTAAAAGCCAAAACGTCTCCATTAAACACACGGCTCGGACTGAGGCGCCTTTGAGCACGGCACAGAAACCGACAAAATATGGCTCGGCTCGCGGCGACGAATTTGCCTCGCGGCGTGCCTCAGGTTGAGGCAGCGTCTCCACTTGCGCAGCCTCGGAGTGAGGCAGCCGCTCGACCCAAGGCTGCCTCTAGTGGATACGCGGCTTTTGAAATTAATGAACAACTACGCTTCAATCTGCTTCCTTTATGTAACTGTTACCAGTAAGAACCTTTCTTTCTGTATACGGCCTAAGGGCTCAATCTGCTCTCTGTCTATGGTATTAACTTTTCTGAAGTGAAAACTTCTTTAGCGGCGTTGATCAGTTTTTTTTGTAAGGGTAAAAAATGTTAAACTCGCTTCCTGACACGTGGGCTGATCGCATCAAAGGCCACGTGTCCTGATCGTAAGACGAAAACAATAAAATTGGAAAGGTTGTTGACTTTCAATATATTGGACGAATCATAGTAATATTTTATTTTATCGTTTTATAATAATAAGTCTGTATCTAGGACGTCCAGGTGGCAGCTTTATTGCGAAGAAAATATTTTTTTTTTTACAATAGATGTCGCTAGGTGCGCTTAATTGAGAAATTCTGGGAGATATACTTTTTAATGTAATATAAGTTGTCATGTTTGTGTACGATAGCGCAATAAATAAATATTGTATTCTACCACATAAATGATACTTTTATACTGATAATTAAAGTAATTCGTGCAAAATTATTCCCTAACCATTCCAAAATATTAAAAATTAACAACGTTAATATTCAAGTTTTCACTTCGGCCGGCACTCCCGTAGTGCAACCCGTCGTTTTTATTATTATTTTTATTTTGTTCTTTCCACAGATTCTACGAGCCAGTCACGTTCCAGCCGAACATTTTGCCGGTGTGTGTACCGGACAACGACGACGATTTCGTCGGCAAAACCGCCCACGTCACCGGCTGGGGACGATTATATGACGGTCAGGAGAAGATAATATTACAGATATTTCTTACCATATTTAGGCGCTTTCCTGCCCCCCTAGCATGACTAACAAAACGCGATATAATAAAGCGATTTATCGACACTCAACTGTCAAACTCCATAGTAGTTTGACAGTTAATGTCGATAAATCGCTAGGCTGGCTGGATCGGCGCGTGTTCGAATCGTTTTCGTATTTGTACCGAGTCTGTACAGATTGTTACCAGATACACGATAGAAAAAATTAACACAATACTTTTCTGTATTGTGCTATTAATGTCCCCACTGCTGGGGCACATGCACAGGCTGTGAGTCGTGACCCACCACGTGGGCCTAGTGTGGATTGGTGGGTGCTTACTACGACTGCAGATGCAGCCGGGACAAAAGGATTAACTTACCTTCTGTACATTTTAGAATTTTGACACATCATTAAGTGTTAGCCTTGTGCGGATTGGTGGGTGCTAACGAAGAGATGCAGCCGGGACCAACAGCGGAACGTGACTCTCGTACATTGTATAATTATGACATACCATTACTAAGTCTAAAGAATTTTAAGTACAATTTTTGGAACGAAGTTCCTTATCACACGATACGGAGTTGGCGTGGTGGCTAGGCGAAAAAAGTTCAAGATTTTTCCGTCACGAATTTCCGTTACGACCGTTAGCCAAGTGTTTTCCGTTTCCAACCAAGTGTTCCACGACACCCACGTTTCCTTTTTTTGAAGAGAAACTTCTTTAGGCACGCTTTACTTGGGGGGTAAACTGGCGAATGCGTTACGAAAAGTGTCTGTCACCAGTCACACATATATATCTAAAGCTAAAGAAGTTTCACATCAGTCGTGTGGTCATAAGCACACTCGCTTTTTTATATATATTTATTCCATATAATATATATTTCCACAGACGGTCCCTTGCCAAGTGTACTTCAAGAAGTGAGAGTACCCGTCATCAACAATTCCCTATGTGAAGCGATGTACCAAGACGCAGGCTACAATGAGCACATACCGAACATATTCATATGTGCCGGCAGGAAGAAAGGAGGTGCGGACAGTTGTGAAGGTAAAAATATTAATGCGATTTCATAAAAACTAAAAAACTGCTTAGGCTCACTTGCACGACAATTTTTTTACTCGATTTAAGGAAAATCTTTGTCAATTGTTTTAATTCAAAAAAAGATAGAATACGGTTTAAACCTGTTTAGCTTTAAAGCTTGAATTAAGAAAAAAGAAGAATTATGAAGAAGAAAAAGTTGTAGTCGGGTCGGGCCTTATAAAAAAATAACAAATAACGGTTAATATTCTGGTCATAACACTAACTAGCCCGAATGTAAAGGATGTCGTAAAATCTAAAGATGAAAATGAACACGCATTTCCCATGACGATCACAGGATAAATTGGGAAAACTTAAGCGATTTTATCGTTTTCTAATACTTTGTAGGAGGTTGTTACGGAAGAACGTTTAGCAGAGAATTAGAAAATTAAATAACTTAAAACTCTACCCGATAGGTGACGCTGAAGACGGGTTTTAAGATTTTTAGTTTGTAGTTTCCGCTATATTTAACAATTTTCAGGCGTTTTAAAAGCCAATTATAAATCCACCTCAAAGAGGGACGTGGCAAAATGATAATGTAAACAATGAGCCAAGAAACATTATATTTCATTTTCCCCCTGGGTAGGAAAATAATTAATTTAAATGACTTTTTTTTATTCATACAATCAACATGTGCTTTCTTACAACGGGCCTGCTGGAAGAAATTTCAGATTGCAATAAGCTGTGCCCTTGTACTACAATCTTATTTTGTAATTTCTGTCTATTTGTATTTGTGTGTACAAAATGTATATATAAATAAAATAAAAATACCCACGTATCCATATTATTACTGGAAACTCCAGGAAATTCGCAAATTGATGGCTTCCTATGTTAATCTGTACTCCCAATTTACATAAACATTTTTTTGTTGCAGGCGACAGCGGTGGACCAATGGTAGTACAAAGGGAAAGGGACAACCGTTTTGTACTAGGCGGAGTAATTTCATGGGGCATCGGGTGTGCGGAACCAAACCAGCCCGGCGTATACACGCGGATCTCCGAATTCAGGGACTGGATCAATCAAATCCTACAGTTCTAAAACTAGCGTTAAACGAAACGCAGCCGCAACAAAATGGCGCGCGATCAAAATGGCTGTTCGAATCCATTGAATGTAGTAAAAATAAATCTGGAGAAATCAAAGCAATCTTACTAGTTAGAGGATTTTTGAAATTGACGAAATTAAGTCTTCAGTCAATTTTATTGGTTCAAAAATATTTTTCCTGAGAGTAAATAAAACATTCAAGTAAAATTATTTTGCTGTTTCAAATAATAGTTATATTTTGATATCACCTATACAACGAATTAATAATAATTGCAAAAAGTACACACAAAAAGTCGATAAAGCCCTTTGTGTAAATTACCTATTTGGTATTTTTCTTTCTTTATTATAAATATATTGTTCTTATGAAATTTTGAAAGACTGTTATAAGACAAATTGGTGCTCCTTTTGGTCCAAAAAAAATATTGATAGTTTCCTTTTGTTTTATTAAATATTTTTCTTAACCTTTATGAGGTGAAAAAAAAACCTTACGAATTTAACAACGATACTAGAATTTATGATTTATAATTATTTTTGTAATGCTTAGTGAATAATTATGAAATCGAATTTAATAGTGATTTTGTACTTTTTATATCTTTTGTAAAAATAAACCGCAGAGTACATAAAATTGAAACAAAATAAAAAGTATTTTAATAGTCTATAGTAAAAGAGATAGGTAGATTAACTTTACTTAATAAGTATTAATTTTAAGTACCTATTTATAAATCGATTAAGTGGAAATGTTTTATATTTATGAAAACATAAGTAGCTAATTAATTCTTAATATTTATAGAAAAAAAATGTTAAATTATTTTGTAGTAATATTTTGTAAATACTTTTATACAATTTTGACTTTAAAAAAGCATTTATTAATGTTAGTTTTAATTTAGCCATAAATGACATTATGCATCTGAATAAAATTGGAACAAAACAATAAAAGAAATTAAAAAAATAATGTTTCTTTATTTTGTAAAGTAAATAAATAATATAGTCAATTAATTTATTTTTAGGATTGATCTTAGTTTATTACCTGAGGACGAACCCAAGCAAGAATTTTGACAGCTTCATAATCTAATTAATCGTCATCGTCTTTGTATTGTATGGAAGAATACAGTTTGTTCTTTCGCCCGGTAGAGGCGCTGCAAACTTTTCACAGAAACTTTGACGATGCGATAAGAAAAAGGAGCTGTCTTAATTTGTGCTTGGACCTCCGACTTTAAAATAGTGCACTTAATCAGGACACGACAATTTTCCTCTTAAATAGGAACACCCGTCTGGGGAAAAAAGGAAGTAGGCTAACCTCGACGGTCCAAGGATTGCAGCCAAATTTTACTTACTCTTTATTAGTTACCTCATAATATGCAATAAGTCTTTATTACGATATTTCGAGTCCCGTCTGCTGCCTGAACCGCGTTGATTCTTTTCAAGTAAAATTTTCTTTAGTTTTAAACATTTAGCACGTAAATGCTTAAAAAATATATAAAGATATACTTTAGGTTTTTGTCATCATCATGATCAGCCTGTGAATGTCTCCATTGCCTTAAGTGTGGATAGAAATTAGATTAGTCCATTTGCTTGACCAACCACGAAGGCCCTGAGTGGATTGATGTGTAGATGCAGCCGGCCCCAACGGTATAACGAGCTTTCCAAGGAGCTCAAGAAAATATGTTTTTGGTCACCCATACTACAAACACCCATTGCAAAAGCTGCTTTACTTCCATAAGCGCAGGCCAAACGGGCCTAACGCGTTAACAACTTGCGCCAACGAGTATTATTGGAATTCAAAGTAAACAATGTTTGTCTATTTTATATAACTAAATACCTTTCTTCTAAGTTTCAACACAAATCTTATAGGAGCTACTAAAATACAATAAAATTTTAAACATAACAGCATGAGCAACCACATGAAAGCAAGTCAATATGCTTTTAGAGCATAAAAAGATTTGATTTAGTTTATAAGACTGCCGCAAGATGGCGCTAAATTTAAGTTAGGCAGTTGTTTAAAGACGTACATCACGCTTATGAAATGTTTGTGTTCCTTGTCTATATATACAAAATAAAGAGCATTACAAATGTACTTGCTTCGGCAGTACATATACTAAAATTGGAACGATACAGAGAAGATTAGCATGGCCCCTGCGCAAGGATGACACGCAAAATCGTGAAGCGTTCCACATTTTTTGAAGCACCATTATATGAAAAAATTAGTAAGCAAATAAACACATGCCCTCACCATTGTACGCACAGTTTAATTTTGGTTTCAAATTACAATTTGCAATAATCTACTTTTCAGCGATCTTCTCAATGTCTTTTCCTATGAATAATGATTTGCGAAAGGACAGATAACAGGTAATAAAGGCTTATCTCTTATCTATTAGACAAGTCCGTCCGTCCGTGGTGCTGTTTCAGCGGCCTAACCGTAAGAGATAGATAAAGAGAATGTTTAAGTTATAAGTTAAGAATAGTCTGATAAGACTACAAACCGGATTTGAGTAACGTAGCACTTCCGGTTTTCGAGAAATCACGTGATTTCTATTTCAAACGAAACCACACAAAATCTCCGAAGTTCTCAATTAATTAAATACATTTTTTTTTTTTGGTGAACATCTGGTTCACTGGTTTGCTAGTATTGTATAACAACTTAAATTAACGACAATCCAAAATTATCATTTCCTAAAGACTGGACTGGTCTCCGAATTACAGAAATATTAATAGATTTATATTAGTTTTATACTAACTAGATACAAACTTTAAAATGGTAACGTAGTTCAAATTTATCCTAATTAATATTAAGATAAATTTGAATTTTAAGTATAATGATGAAATACTTGTTATTAAATGAATGATAGTTAAAATGAGAAAACTGCAATATGACTGTTATGTTTTAATATGATAGAATATTTTGCATGCTATTAATATGGCTAAATAGGTTTAAGATTCTTAGCTTTTAACATTATGCTTTATATGCAAACACCTTTTGTCAACCCTATTTAATGCAAATAAAGACTATTCTATTCCATTTCATCACTGCTATGTTACTAAAATATTTTTTATTACCTACATAACACATAACTTTATTTCATTATAATTTATGTACTGGCAATGAGACATAGATAGTATCCCTATCTATGACAAAAACAAAACTACGTTATACAAATAGCGACTTTATTTCTAAAACATTTCAGTTCACTTCATATGGATCATGTGTGCCAGGGTCCAGTCATGTTTGATCTCAGCCACATCATCGATGACAACACCCTCAGCGGTCACTACTCCGAGTTGGTAGCGCTGGAAAGCGCGAGCGTCTCGGTAGAATAACACCTCCATGCATTTGCGTACTAATGCCCTGGGAATAGAGACACGTTTTGATTATTTGACTAATAGATTTTGGAACTTTTAGTAATAGCTATTTTAAATTAAAAAAAAACTATCACCATCCTAAGGCGAGTACAGCCGCGAAATCCCCAGATTAGAGTACATATTATATCAGTCCTTATGATATCTTTTTTCTGAAACATTCTATTTTCGAATTTTTTACTCTGTACTGGAATATGTTGTCAGATCAGGAAAAAAAGCACTTTTTGTAACTTGAAAGTTCGAAATGTATATATTTTCTTGAATATGTATTCACTAATCAGTAGTTGTATGAAATTCCTTAACCATTTTCATCCAGCATTAAACACAAGAAGCAGAATAATTTAAGGTCTGCTGTTGTAATAGAGGAACATCAAAAGAGCCTGTTTTGTACTATAATCTAAGCTAACTCAATGCGGTATACAGGGTCCATTTCTGCAGCTTATCAAAAGCTACCACACGAATCGCCACTCTGTAGTTAAAATATGTGATCAGTACAGTAACATGACTCTAACAAAAAGAGGCACGGCTCAAGGCTCCATCTTTGGCCCAATGGAATATCTACTTTATGTCAATGATATGTGTTCACTTATTAAAGAGGGATCGGTGTACCAATTCGCAGACGATACCTGCTTGGTAGTAGCCGCCAAAAGTGTAAGTAAAGTTGAACAAATAATGCAAAATAATTTTGATATCGTGTGTAAGTGGGCCCATGACGTTGGTTTGGTGGTGAACGCTCAAAAGACTAAGTTATTGCATATTCACACCTCTCACAATAAAGCCGACATCACACCCACCGTGGTGGGTCACAATCATAACTGTATTCATAACCCGACATGTAATTGCACATGTCAGCCAATTGATAATGTGAAACAACATATGTATGTGGGTCTTTTGATTGACGAGAGATTTTGCTGGGGACCTCACAAAGATTACGTTTGCGCCAAGTTAAGATCAATCGCGAGTAGACTATCTATATTAAAAAATAAACTACCATACAGAACCCTTAGACTCATATATTTGTCCCTAGCTGAATCTGTTGTAAGTTATGGCCTAAGTAGTTATGGAAGAACTTATAAGACATACATAGAGGATATTTATAAAATTCAGTATAAAATGCTAAAGATAATTGTACCCAAATATATAAAAGTTAAATATAAAGGTAACGCACAAGAATTGTTTCGATATTGTAATGTGATGAATGTTTATGACAAGGTAAAATACGTTATTCTAACCGAATTTAACGAGACTAAGTACTTGAATATTAATAAAAGACCAGATAATCTGAGAAAAGTTTTTGTTGCCGAAATGTAATAATGTCCACGGAAATAGAAAGCTATGTTATTTAATACCGTCCTATATTAATGAATTGCCTAGTAATCTACAGGAAATGTACTCGAACATTGTAGTCAATAAATATAAATATAAATTTAAAAGACATTACTTAAAAAATAGCCAACTTGAAAGTGTATAAAGTGGTAAATGAGTGGCTCCCATACACATATAAACCTTAACAGGTTTTCGTGTATGGTTTTTTTTTTAATTGTATGTGTATGATTGTATTTGATAATAAAATAAATAAATAAAATAAATAAATAAATCTTATTCTGAACAAAGTTTTAAGTAAATAGACACTAATCTATTTTCTTTTACATTTAATATTGAAATTAATCCTTTCCAAACTATAAATATAAGGAAGGATTGTCTGATGTTGATAGAAACCTGATAACAGTTTTCACTTGTAGGTAGATTATGAAAAAAAAAAAATTTTACTGCATTTCATTTTAAAGTTTTGAGATTCTGCATATACAAAAGGAGAATGGGCAAATCCGCCTAGATTGCGCTTGACGCATTTATGTATCAAAAATCTTCTTCTGAATTATCATTTCATATGTGTGTTTATTATGTAAATATTATGCGGATATTTAAAATAATAAATAAATGGCTATTAAACTGAGTAAATAACCAATAACCATAGATAAAAGTTGTATCACCTGGTCGATACTATCGTAGGAAAAAAAATCGATTATATTTCTTTATTTAAATATTCTTAACATAAAAAAACGAGTGTGCTTATGACTAGACAACTGAAGTGAAACTTCTTTCATTTACTAGCTGTAAGAGAAAAAGAGAAAGAAAATGCGTGCGCGCGCTCTTGCTCCTACACTGTGATACAGACAATAGGCTTGCACTGTGCTTAGATATACGGAACGTATTTGGCTATGAGAGGAAGAGAGAAAGAAAATGTGCACGCGCACTGCTTTCTCATGCTTACATCCCCCACTCAACTCCCGTTCGCCTCGCCCGATCACACTTTTCTTAACGCTTACGTTCGCTAGCTTACTCCCCAAGTCAAGAGTGCGTAAAGAAGTTTCACTTCAAAAAGAAAAAATAAAACGTTTATTATAATTGAAAGCATAGAACAATTAATAGCCTGAAACATTTTTACCAAACACCGTAAATGACTACGAAATAATGATCATTCGTTAATTCGTAGTCATTTTTTATTTTGAGGTTTTCGATGCGAGTTGTTTGATTTTTGTATGGATCGATGGATAGATTATTTTCCCCAAATCGCCTATTCAGAGGGCCTGGTTTCGAATTCCGGTGAGGCAAATGTTTGTATGATGGATACGAGCATTTTTACCAATATTATATCATGATAAATAACATTAAATTCATAAAGTTATCATTTGTAAGACCTGTGTTGTGACTATCTCACTGTACCTACCAGGGATTGCTCTCTTTCATTGCATCTAAAAACTAAAAGGAACTTAATGGGCTGCGCAAAAGAGGATTTTTTGCCTGCGGACTATTTTGTTCATCAAACAGTAGATCGCATACTAAAACTTTTATATGTGTACTACATATTCACATCTTAGATTAAAAAAGGGAATATATTTTTGTTTAAATTATCAGTTATGTTATATATAATTACTTAATCATATATAAATTAACTCATGGTTTGAACATTTTAAGCATTTGCATTGAAAATAAAACATTTATTAATCGATTGTGTAGGAATCGATTCCTATATCAAATCGAAATATATACCATAGGCAAGTGAAGTAGGTAGCTGTCAACTTGTTGTCAACGTGTTTGTTGTTTGTTCCGAGTGACTAACTACTTATGTACAGTTTTCAATTTTGAATTGAATTTGTGTTTTCAGTGGTCTATTGTGGCAGAATAGTTTTAATGTTGAGTTGAGTAATCCTCCGTTAATAACTTTTTTTTGGGAAAGAGAGCATTGGACTCGTTGATTTAGTGTTAAGTTACCTTTAGTGATTCTGACAGAGATATTTGGACTTAGTTTATTGTAATTATTTTTGTTTACAATGGCATCTGGTGTTACACAAGAAAACGCAGGCAGTATGCAACGACGTTGTATTAACTGTTGTATATCAGTGCCACGACGACAGCCAGTACATTCTTTGGACATGCTATCCAATTCAATGCTTAATGTTTTAAGCTCATGGATCGCACCTGATTCTGTAAGTAATTATTTACTTATATTACTAAAAATATATCGTTATACAATCGCAACCGTGAGATAATGTTTTAATTTCATTCACATGTTCAAATAAATATAAATATTTTTGACTTGTTATAGATATTGAATGGGGGCATAGTGTGCAACGAATGCTTTATGCTACTACAAGCTAGTGACACCACAGAAGAAGTACCTGCACCACAATATGGCCATCAACAAGTCTGTTTTGGTTGTGGAAAATCCATATTAAGAAGTCAATCGTACAGGGTTTCACTACACTGTCCAGAAAGATGATATTCTTAGATGGACTCCAGCACATCAGGTATGGTATAAGATATTATTATCAATAATAAATTATTAAAATTGATTTCAATGCTAATTAAAACATGACTGTGACATTATTATTATTTTTGCATTGCATGATTGAAATGTTATATTAATAATAATTTATTTAAATTGATTTCAATACTAACTGAAACATGACTGACATTTTTTTTACATTGCACAATTGTCATGTAGTATATTAATGAAATTGATTATATAATAACTAACTCAATCATGACTATGGTATATAAATAATATATATAGTTTTTAAAGATTGAGTTCTGGATAATACTGCAACTACCTATAAATATTTGCACGTCGATAAAAGCGACAGGTCATGTTGGTTATATTTTTGAGATCTGTATAATTTACCATATCTTGTCAGATAAATGATTTATTATTATTATTATAAGAAATATATTTCTATTGCATAAAATAGTTGTAGATGGTTTTTCATTAAATTCAAGTTCACTTATCTTTTTTTTATAGGTGTCAAGAATTTCAAGAGTTTGTGCTGCCTGTTGGCGAGCAGCTAATAGAAGACAGAGATGAATCGGTCATCAATTGAACAAATTGATGTAGAACCAACAGAGTCTGTACCAGTGATCCCAGTACCACCACCATTTCCCGCTGGTCTATTACCTGTTCAGCCTTCAAGACCTGTTATACCTAAGATACAGTCATCAGTATATAAGCGTGCTGTAGCCACTTCATTGAGTTGTCTGTTTTCAGGATGCCGGGAACAACAATGTTTATTAGTACCCAGAGTAATAAGAGAAATGTTATTAATACATAATAAATTCTATGTTCCCACATGTTGTAGAATATGTCAACATCACTTGAATAATGGGCGTTGGAGTGATTTAACATCAAATCTGCAAGATTTTACTGGTGTACAGTTTGATGCAATTTTGAATATAATGCAGAGAGCAGTTTCCCATTGTTTCGACTTTGAAAATATTTCTGCAATGGCTCCTTTCTTATGCCATTATTGGCTGGGAATGAATGCTGAACAGTTTGATGAACTCTTGGCATGTGTACCAAGCTTATTACAGAGTGTCAAAAATCCCCGTTTAGCACTCTGTATTTACATAGTCAAGTTAAGAACTGGGGACAGCAATGAACGATTAAGTTCCCTCTTTCAAATGTCTCGTAGGACCTTGGAGAGAAAAATGAATATAGCTAGAAGTTGTTTAGTTGAAGATTTTGTGTCAAGACATTTGGGCTTTGGTCATGTAAATGTGGAGCAAGTGGCCAGCAGAAATAAAATAATCCCGGAGGGATTGTTTGGTAATCCAATCTTACCAAATGATATTAAACCCGCTATTGTTATGTGTGACGCAACTTATATATATGTCCAGATTTGTTCTTTTTTAAAAAAAGGCAATATATAAACCAGGATTAGAGCACGCTTAATGTATAAACTGCTGTGTTAATTGAACTTAGCAGAGCTTTAACTGGATATTTCAAACTCAACAGGACATGGTGGCGAGTTACAAAAGATATTTTAGGCGAAGTCACTACAGTTCCACTGGATACGGCATAACCTCAAAAATATAAAATAAAAATATCACATTAATAATGTCGATTTGGATAAATGTGTTATCAATAAATGATTATCATTATTAAAATATTTTGTCTTATTTATTTTTGATTCCTAAACCTTAAATAATATTAGATCCATTGTTGGGTTAACAGAGCATCAAAGGTGCAGCTTGAGCGTAAAGAGAATAAGTATAAATAGCACTAATATAACCGCACCTCAACAACGCCACATTTATTAAATCTGAGATGTTTGGAATAAATAGAGATAGATAGCAGCTCACCAACGCAACAGTTTACAAATATACGCTGCCCGTTGATAAGATTTTACGCAGCGTGTGCATTCAATTTTTGTTTCACTCCCAGTCCAAAATAGAAGACAAAAGGTCACAACCTAATTAAATACAGTTTAAAGTAGTATACCTAGTAATAATTAAGTATGGTATAAATATCGAATTTAATCGAATCTACATATGACATAACCTTAAAATGCTTACGTAATTTAATATTTTCTTTAAACCACTACTTAAGTTTCTAATGATATTTTTCCTACGCAATATACACCTGATTCCCTATTGTTGTACACTTATTCCAATAAGACGCAATGAAAAAAACTTAGCCCAACTCCCAAAGTAAAATGACCATTCTCCTTTAATGTATAAATAAAAAATTATGTATCATACTTTGCAGTTTCCTCATCTAGATTGCCTTTATCAACTGCTTCTCTGAGTAGAGGAGTGGCCATGTAAGCACCTAGACCTGTCGCTATGGCTGCATCTTCGTATGCCGTCCCCAATTTGTCTACTGCACCTAAGAAAGGTTCTCCATCCTGTGACAAATAAAACACAAATAATAAAAATATTGATCTACACAAGTTACAGTACACTCTTGAAGGATTGAAGTCTGGAACAGAACCGGCCAGAGTATCCCACATTGAAGGCTTTAAAGTTTTATTTTCCTTTAGCCAAATATTTAGCTGCGTAAGTTCAATATGAAAAAAAATAAAAGAACCTGAATGAACCTTTACTTTGTTTGCAGAAATTTTTACATCCAATCACATCCTTAAATATGAACAGTAGCAATGATTATATACCTGAATTCCAGCTACGATATAATTGTTCCACAAGGGATCCATCTTGCTCCTCTTATTGTAAAGCACCCTGGTAAGCCAGCAGTACAGAGAACGGGGCTTAAGCAGTAAACCATCTCCCACACACTTCTCATCGATACTGAAACAGCCAATAATAAACACTAAAATAGTTATTTGGATAAACCAATGATTATAATGAATAAATATATTATTAGAGACAACAATAATATGTATAAGGAGATGAACTGATGATTTGCAAGTATGTCACAATACTGGGATGTAATTTTTTACTGCCAATTGCCGTGTTTTTACTGCACAAAACATTTTTATACCTATATGGTAGGTATATATATGACGAGCTGTGTGAATAAAACGGTATAATTATGCATATGTTTTTGACCATATAATACTTTTCTTTTTACAGCCCGGAGGTTTTGGGCCAATTTGAATTTCAAGTCATGTCAATCAAAACCACCTAAAAATGACTAAATTAAAAATCACGCCAAAAGCTCACTATAGGTATGTCATTGAGTTTTTTACTGCTACTGCAAAATTTAATTTGATGTTATTATACCGTTTTGTTTGCCAGCTCCTTATATATTATAGGTAGCAAAGTTCTTGAGCAAAACCACAGATAATTAAACTTGCGCAGTAGACATTTTGTATGTAATATTGCTTCTTTGCAGGCTTCCTTGTCTATAGTTAGTTGTTGCGTGTGTGCCAGAACTCACTTCAAAACCCAAACAAATCATCAAAAGTACAGATATTTTAAAAGACAATTTTATAACAATATAAGTCATACCACAAACAGTTTGTTAGCACTTACATTTTCTGTTCAATAATATCCTTCAAGTACTGAAAATCGGCGTAATCACCACCAGAACCTAGAAGTATGAGGTCGTTCACTTTCATGACGCGAGGGCAGTCACGGAACCTTGCCAGAGAACCATAGGAGCCGAGTGTATCAGCCGCAATAACTATTCCTTTGTCGAATTTGAGCCCAATCACTGTCGTGGTTGTAGTAATTGGATTGGCAGAACTGAAAAAATGTAAATAACAAGTGTGATTTGCTAGCAATGGGTTAGTAAATGGTTTTTAATTATGATTTCCTATAAGTTATCATATTGTACAAAGTAAATGCAGAATAGGATATGGAAAAGACTACTAACTAAAACTACTTACTGTGCTCTGAATTCTTGCGCTGAATGGTTTCCGGGTCCAAAAGTTGAAGAGTTACCAGGGAAGTTGTAGAATGCGCCAGGAGAAGGCCCATTTTGCCATAAAGGCGCTGGATTCATTATATCACCCATGAATGCCATTTTAAATTAAATATTGAACTTTTAAGGCTGGCCTGAAATAGTCTTTCAATATAAATTATTAGTTTTTGTACAATTACAATTTTATTTGCAAATTCCTCACGATGACAAGCGGCAACGAAAATGACAAACAAAATTTAAGTCTACGTTCCATTCCATCACTTCCAATTCGCAACAACCATTAAAATTCAGAACTTAAATATATTTACTACTATTGGATGAGCTGGAGATATTATTTTACTTAATTTAGATACAGTATTATACAAATGCCTGCATTATTAATGCATGGCACTATTTTAAAAACTCATGCTATGCTAATACCATATACCTGAAAAGAAACGTTCCTGTATACGTTCAGTATCAACTTTGTTCAAGTTGTATTTCATAATATACGTGTCTATTTATTTATGAAATATTCAAAGTTAGATTTTGGATGCTTGATACGAAAATATAGATAGAACTTATAAATTGACTGAAAATTTTAAATATAAAATAAATTATAATTTAGCTTAACTAACTAACTTCATACTAAACGAAATTTTTGAACGTATACTTGTCAACGTCAATCTTTGCTGTATTGAACGAATCTAACTTCACGTTCTTTCAGTTTCCTTTCAAAAAATTGACACAACAAAATGTCTAAGAGAGGTGTGTGAAATTAAGAAATATCCATTTTAATCTAAGTTAAACGTGTATAATTTTATTTACAAAAATGTGACGAGCCAGTCTATGTGCAGTATGAACTAGAATCATGTATATTTCAACCCGAACGCAATTTACTACTTGTAAATGTTGATGTATAAAACTTGTAGTAAGTGTGATATCGTTTTCTGTTTTAAGGACGTGGTGGTTCCGCGGGAGCGAAGTTCCGTATCTCCCTGGGTCTCCCAGTAGGAGCCGTCATCAATTGCGCCGATAACACAGGTGAATTTCACTTTGTTTGTAAAACATAACCTCAAACTATTCATCTGAAGACTGATGATTAGAATATTCGACTCACAAAATGTGCATTGAATCATGATGATTTATGTCTTGGCTGTGTCTGAAGTCTTCTTAATACCCATTAATAAATACAAATTTGCCCTAAACATATATCAGTGCAGTGCAGTATACATGCAATGACATTTTTATGCATCATTAGACTACGATCCAACGATTCTTACTTTAAATCGAGTTAAGAGCTACTATTAATTTACAGATATTTGTTACCAGATCTTTGCAAGAATAATGACCATCTTCATAATATTTCAGACCAGATTTATTGATTGTTTTTATACTTTATTCTTTCAGGGGCAAAGAACTTGTATGTGATCGCCGTGCAAGGTATCAAAGGGCGCCTCAACAGGCTGCCTGCGGCTGGTTCCGGAGACATGATTGTCGCCACAGTAAAGAAGGGCAAACCAGAACTCAGAAAAAAGGTATGTATCTTATAATGAAGGAGACGAAATACATAATTTCCTCTTAAATGGTTTACCGATCTAGAAATAGCATTTAGGATTAAGTCCTGTGTTGATTGTTGATTTGCGCTGATGATACACCAAATGGTTTTGCTTTTCTGTCTGAATTGTTCAACAATATGTTGAAATGCCTTGGCTGACTGAGCAAATCAACAAAATCTACATTTTCCACACAACAGTAAGGAAGTATAGTAATTAAACTAGGACACACTTGATGCTAGGGAAAGTTTACAGTGGGGACATTAATAGGCTGATGATGATGAATTACTAAACAAAAATTTACTTGAAGTGGGACCCCAAGTGTAAATTATAGTTAAGTTAATTAATCTCATGAGTGTCACGGTGTATCAATGAAATTCCTTTTTTTATTTAATAAAAATGTTATAGACAAGCAGTGTTTTCTGATATATCCATATCATTAGGGATGAAATGATACCATCTAGGTATCAATACTTTTACTTGATACTATATCGGTCATAAATTATTGATGCCTACTCGTTATCGAATAAAAAGTATCAAAATTTTGACAAACGATAGGTAGATTACAAATTCAGTCACAGTTTTTAATTAAACAAAACAAAATAACGGCACACGCCACGCAATGAAAAAATTACTGACTTAATAAATTGGAATAAATATAAACCATACCTACCATATTGGCAAGGCTACCAACTGAGCAGTAGAAAAGATGCGTTCGCGAAACAAAAATTGCAACTAGACACCTTACCAGAGTAAATAATCTGCCTATGAGTTTTTTGATACCTCTCAGACAGTGACTGACTGAATACCGATACAAGTACTTACTTCACGATACTACTTATTACTCAGTTCTAAAGTATCAATGCCAAAAGTACTTGGTATTGAAAGAAAATAAATAATAATCAAGTAGTTACTTGTATTTACTCCTATCGGTTCATCCCTACATATCATGGAGTGTTGAAATGCATTCTTTAATCTTGTCTGTCAATAGTCACATGCTTTATTTAGCTATCCAAAATTATTTTCATATAAATTTATTCTGACTGCAGGAATCTCTTTCTTCGACAACTGCTGCTGTTGTTGTAGTTACAAGAATTTTCAACAAAGTTATTATTACATAAACAAAAAAAAATTTTTTTATTATAAATTTGCTGATTTTTGTCTCCGTAACAAAAAAGCAATACATAGAAACACTATAAACATACTCCTGGGGGTCAATCGCCTAATGGGATTGCTATTATTGCTTATGATTTCATTTTATTATTTCTGACCACTGGAAGTTTTCAAATACCTCACTATCATTTTCTGTAATATTGTTAGTACCAATGCAAAAGAAATAAAATAGAGTTAGGCATTTGAAAACTTTTGATGGTCAGAAGTAACAAAATTAAATTGTAAGCAATAGCGATAGTCTTTTGAATGTTAATAAGAAATAACCAATGAGATCAGTTGTGGATATGAATAATTATAAAATACTATGGTTATGGTTGTTTATTATCTTCATTAAGATTTTTTAACCCTTATTATAGAGTTATTGATTTTCAATTATCTCTTTTACCCAAATAACTGAACAATATTAAATTATTCCTGTGAAAGAAAATAATCTTGCATCCTATAATATTGTTTCTTCCTTTTTAGGTAATGCCTGCAGTGGTGATTCGGCAGCGGAAACCGTTCAGAAGGCGGGACGGGGTGTTCATATACTTTGAAGACAACGCAGGCGTGATAGTAAACAACAAAGGAGAAATGAAGGGTTCAGCTATCACAGGACCAGTGGCGAAAGAGTGCGCAGATCTATGGCCGCGTATCGCTTCGAATGCGAGCTCTATAGCTTGAACTTAAATATATGGTTAAGAAAAATCCAGAACGTTTTATTTTTCACCTATACTAAAAAAAATTTGGGCGTCCCTCAAGGATGTACATTGGGACCAATTTTATTTATAGTACATAAAATGAAACAAAAATAATTTTTAAGGCAAGGAAGAGTTGCTTATTAATTCCACTTCTTTCTTATTAAAACCAACTGAACGGATTTTGATTAATTTTGCTACCTTAATTTTTATGATAGGAGAACTAATGTAAGGTTTCTGTGGTTTTCTGAGAAAACTTAACGAGCTAATGCTAGTATATAAATAAATCCCAATTTTTAGTCTGCTGTTTCTTTGGCCACATGCATTTTAGAGAAGAAGGATCCTTGATTATGGTGTGCTTCTATAATAATGTAAATAACCTTAGGTATGCTTCTTTGACTTGTCCAAAAATAGGACTTTGGACATTATTACAACGGTCACAGCGTCGATCAGAATCGTAGCAAACCAAATTCGCCCTTATCTCCGAATCGTAAGACATATTTCTTCTGTGATAAATAGAAACGATCAAACAGACGCGCGATCGATGATTATCGACGACTGATCACTCACATTACCAATCTGCTCTAAGGAATACATGCTTTACGGTGCTAAGATAAGGGTGCATTTGCTGTGTTACGTTTCTGAATGACTTGGAACGCTTCGCTAGTATAACCATAAGTGTTCCTAGTGGTAGAATGCTGCAGGCCGACAGGGTAGGCATTTTTCCGAAGGTTGTGGTCCGAGAGCCTTTAGTGAAGCCGAGTAAGATGTGGCAAACGTGAACAAATTCCGCCGCACAACGAACCGACACGGTTAAAACTAAATCTGGACTTCTCCCTTTATTTAAGCGCCCTGTTATTAAAAACAAGAAGACCGCAATCCAAAGGACTAATTGCGAGCCATCAGTACCTCTAGCACGAAGCAATATCGAATTCGAATAGTTTGCGAGTCGGAAGTCGGAAATGTCATTGTATGGAAACTTGAACAGCAGCCCCACAAAGGACGTAACGAGAACTAAAAATCAATACACATTTGACAGTGGCATTTCGCACTCGCAAACTATTCGAAATCGATATTGGTTCGTGCTAAGCGTACAGAGGCCCAAAGACAAACTTTGACAGCTCCGTAATCGTAAAGCATCATCAACGCTTCTATGAAAATTAAGCAGCGCCCCTACCGGACATAAAAACAAACTAGATCCTACCACACGAAAGACGACGACGCTACCTTTCAAAGTTCTTGAGCGACCCGTAATAAACCAACTCCCATATCTAACCTACTGTAATAGGGGGACCTACGCCCTCCGTAATCTTATCGCATCGTCAATTTCTATGCAGAACACAGAAAGAGGGCCTTGTAGGCGGGGCAGGCGCGCGGCAGTTATGTGTGAGCAAATGCTCATAACTTGACCAAAACTTTCGATTGTTTGATTGGCTATTATCTATTAGTAGGAAGTTTAGAGGGGGCGAGACCGCGACATCGTTTCCCGTACAAACGGTCTCGAATCACCCTTCTAACCACGTTCTGTGTTCTGTGATCACCCCGACCGGACTTAAGAACAAACTGGTTCCTCCCATACAAAATTTGACGATACGATTACGCGGATTCATCAAAGTTGGTGCTTATGGGCCTCGGAGAACCCACACACAAGGGCGTATCGTATCTAATCTACCCTAGGGCGGCAGACAGCGAGAGGCGGCTATAACTATCCTGAGGGCACTGGCAGAACGGTGGGACTCTCCGATGCTAGCTCGCTGGATACGACTGCATGCAGTCGGGCAGGCGGGGGCATCGTAGGGTGACATCAAACCACATGTGTTTTTTTACTAACATTAGTTTTTAAGTATAATCTGTTTGTTACTAACCCACTATGGTCCTTGTTATCCAAAAAAATAATAAATGAAATATAAGAGTCATACAAAGATATTCGTTACTGATGTTGCGAATTACAGCAATTAATCCTGGGACCAATAGCTTGAATAGCACTATAACGGTTCAATATGAGGCGTATATAGCTAAATAGGTGCCTGTATCAGAATGACATGATGACTTAAAGATAATAATGAAGTGCTAGCAATCATCAGTTTCCTGATCTTTTGGTATAGGGACCAAGTTCTTCCGAGTGGCCTCTCTTTGCCTCCCCATCTAGCTACCCCTTTCCACCTGGTCATTGTTTGTGAAAACTGCATCACAACTTTTCTGTGAGACAATTACAAAAAGAAAAGGTTTGCAGCATCTTACATTGAACTATTATTACGTAGTAATTACAACTCACTGGCATATGCCACCTGCTCTCACTTTGTTCCAAGAGAAATCAGTCTTTTGCAGAGGCGGATTATCCTTAAGGCAAACTAGGCATGTGCCTAGGGGTGCGAGGTCACAAAGGGGCGCGCGGGTGGAATAGTAAAATAAAGAAAAAGAACGAACGATCACTGAAACCTCTGTGTTCTGTAGCAAAAACGATTATGATGTTACTAGCGGCCCGCCCTCGCTTCGCTTCGGTGTAGAGCTAAAGTGTAGACTACAGTTTTTGTTCTCAAGCTTGTATTATACACAATGACATTCATCTATGATTCTTCTTATCTTACCTTAGTCTCAGCCCGATCGGTTTAAAATTGACAAAGTTTCATACAAACTTTTATTCCCTTTTTTATCCCCTTGGGGGTAGAATTGATCAAAATCCTTTCTTAGCGGATGCCTACGTCATAACATCTACCTGCATGCCAAATTTCAGCCCGATCCGTCCAGTGGTTTGGGCTGTGCGCTGATAGATCACTATGCCAGTCAGTCACCTTTGAGTTTTATATAGGTACTAGCGGCCCGCCCTCGCTTCGCTTCGGTGTAGAGCTGAAGCGTAGACTACAGTTTTTGTTCTCAGGCTTATTTTATACACAATGACATTCATCTATGATTATTCTTATACCTGCATGCAAAGTCTCAGCCCGTTCGGTTTTAAAATTGACAAAGTTTCATACAAACTTTCATTCCCTATTTTATCCCCTTGGGGGTAGAATTGATCAAAATCCTTTCTTAGCGGATGCCTACGTCATAACATCTACCTGCATGCCAAATTTCAGTCCGCTCCGTCCAGTGGTTTGGGCTGGGCGTTGATAGATTACTACGTCAGTCAGTCACCTTTGAGTTTTATATATATAGATTATAAAAAAACTGAAGATGGTATATTTATCTTTTCCAAACTTCTATTGACATCACGTCGCTCAATTGTTTTGCCTTCCCAGAATCTGTCCACTAACATTTGAAATTTATGGTATGGTATTAAAGTTCAAATTGACTTTTAAGTATTATTACGAATCGTTTGTATGGGAGTAAAGAAAAGTTTTGTTTTTTGACATTTTCAGGCATTTTTTTTAATTTTTCTCTTCGTAAGAACCATCCTCGTACTTCAAGGAATATTCTAAAAAAAAATCAGCCAAATCGGTCAAGCCGTTTTCATGTTGTGTCGTGACAACGGAAAACGGGTTTCATTTTTATATATATAGATATAGATTTAGCTAATACCAAAGTCGTCTGTGGTCTAGCACGAGTTATTGACAGCTCCGTAAAGTATCGTAATCGTCAAATTTTGTATGGAAAAAGCTAGTTGGTTCTTACCTCCGATAGGGGGCGCTGCTTAGGTTTCATAAAAAAATTGACGATGCGATACGTTACGGTGCTGTCAAAAACTAGTACCTACTTGTGCCTCTGTATGTCAACCACACAGGTCAACCGTGACGGTAACTTACCATGAAGGTTTGAGCAACGTAAGGCATTGCGAATATCCCGCCCGAATCAGAGCGCCCGCCTGCTGCATTAAAGAATAAAATACACTAGGTACCTTTTCATGGTGGTACCTAGAAGGTACCTGGTCAATAATTGATCCATATATTACCGTGTCCATGTTCCCGGCAAGTAAGGTTCCAGTTACTTACATTAATAATGATGGGGCCACAGTAGACTACTATTCGGGTGGTATCTTAAACACCTATACGCTATCATCACCCAACTGATGTTTAGAAAAGCTTTATGACACCTTATTGCCACCACAGCCAAAAAGGAGTGTAATGTTTTCTACGAATGGGAGCTCGCTCCGATTTTAGTGTAAAAATCAGTTACCTATGAGATGATGAGAATAATATAATTAATACCTAACTACTTTGCGATATAATTATTTATTATATTATAAGCGTGATCCACTCATGGTTTATGTTTAATCATGGAGAACCCCCACGTTTTAATATAAATATTTATATGATTCGTAATACAAAAAACGGTCCTGTGTTTTGTAGATCGTTATATTTCAGCCACCAGGCCAACGCACGCCTACGTAGTCTGTAGTAATTTGCCTCTTGCTTAAAACATTAACAAAAAAACTGCTCCTGTTCTAAAAAAGGCATAAGGAAGAGAAATCCTTTCTTTATTCCTTGCTATTGTGTTAATATATATTAGGATTGAATGTGTATTTTCAGCGCGATAAACAGCGACTCCGTGGCGCAACGGTAGCGCGTCTGACTCCAGATCAGAAGGTTGCGTGTTCAAATCACGTCGGGGTCAAAGTACAATTTTGTTTTTACAAAAAAAAATCTAATATATAAAATTCTCGTGTCGCGGTGTTTGTGGTTAAACTCCTCCGAAACGGCTCGACCGATTTTTGTGAAATTTTATATGCATATTCAGTAGGTCTGAGAATCGGATGTAATCTATTTTTCATCCCCCTAAATGTTAAGGGTAATCCACCCCTAAATTTTGTTTTTTCAATTTTTGATATTTTTTTTATGATACAGCATTAGTACACAACCACAAATTTTCACCCTTCGAAGTTCGCTGGGACAGCTAGTTTTTCTATATATGTTGAGATGTAGGGTATAACGGATTTCCCGCTCAAATTGGAGCGCCCGTCTGCCAAAGTAACCTCAACACACAGTAAAATAAAATAACACTTTTGGTGTTTTTTTTTGTGTCGGTGCGTAAGGTTCCAGGGCTCCACGGGGTAGGGGATTGAATCCAGGGT